GGTTTCTTTTCTAAGGAATATGATTGTTGCTTCTAGACATGCCGCTAGGTATATATGATCCATGTTTTCCATTCCCCCTTTACTTTCTTTGTTTAGTTATGCATGTAGAAAAGCTCATGTATGAATCTGACTTTATTATGCAGTCTCACACAAAGGAAGAGAGAATAGAACTTGATGTCAACGACCCTAGAGGTATGGAAATAAAAACACCAGAGTGAAACTCCAGAGGTATGGCATCTCATGATTTCATACCCTTATGTTCTTGCCAACATTTACATGTTATTTTGTTCTTTGCTTACCAAAACTCAGAAGTACTTTATCTTGGTTGACATTATGATTGATTCTGTGTACACTGAGATACTACCGAGTCTCAAACCAGAGCTGGACATCTCATATCTGTACATCAGAATCACTGTTGGGTCCATGGAAGCTTGCCTAGCCGCTACTGTGCCACGTTGTATAGATACTGAACTTGATTTCCTTGGTTTATGTAACTATTGAAGATGTTATATGCGCATACTCCTACAGCATAGGCACTAATGTTGTTTGAGTGCCTTTAGTAAATTACTACATTTTTAGTGAGGTTGGCTAAATGTTTTTCTGCTATTAACATCTATCATTGCCCTACATCTTGTCAGCTCTGCATCCAGAGCAACGATGCCGGCACACACGCCAGTTCTTTGTTCATCTCAGTCGGCGATTATTTCATTTTGTCTACGGCGATGGGGTAGCTTCCTCTGCTCCGTTCGTGTGTTTGACGTTTGTTCTTCTTCCATCCTCTTCTGTCCTTTCGCTCGTCACATTATTCTTTCGACTTGTCCTTAGATTTTTTTTCTCTACAGGTTTTGTGCTGTTTCTTTTGACAAGATGTATTTTTTAGTGACACTTTTCTAGAGATTCTTCATGTTATCTTTATGCTGGGCCTCATATATGTTCATGGTCAACTTGTGTCCAGATTTCAGAGTAGTGTGGTATATTATGATTGTAGAGGTGATCTCACCTACGCATACCCTTTTTGGATACATCGTTACAGCTTGTTACATTGTTCTCTGTTTCTAGATGTCTGCATAGTTTATTTCCACTGGCTTAACTTGCATTAACCCTATTGTGGTATAACATCTTTGCCTGCTACCCCCAGCAAAATTATTCAATGAGTCAATACCATCAATATGTGTGGTTATAGATTTATTTCATAATGATAATCTAAAATCGGGGACCTCCTATAATTGCCAGATAGGTTCCGCACCACGTATAAAATGTACATTACTCGGCAAGCATGTTTATTCAGTTCTTTCAGGATGTAACATGTGCTATAGGTTGATCGATATACAGTAATGGGGGCAGGATTCATTGAACTTGCATGTTCAGGAGGGCCCGTTAGAGAGAAAAAATATATAAAAAAGCACTGTTTATAGGAAATTTAGGAGCAAATCACTGATTAGGGGGGCAGGTCCCCTGCCGACCCCCGTCTGCGCCACTGCCAAAATAGATGCCAATCTTGCATTCTTTTTGCACATGGACAACAAGTAATCATATTTTTCATGTCCCTGCCAATCAGTTTTTTTATTAGATAGCAATTAAATGTTGAGAAGTATATGTGCTGATTACTGGCTCAACAAATTGGTTGCTATATATTGACTGTAAGTCTCTTTTCTCAGGGACAACGTACTGGTCTGAAGGAAAGCCTTTTTTATTTTTCAAGATGATGAACTGCATTATTTCTGGTCCTACTCTGCCTCTCAATCATTTCTTTAAACCAAGTTGATGACCGAGCAAATGCACTTCACAGAAGGAGAACGGACAGCCTTAGATAACATTGACTGTTCTTTTTGGAGCTCCTACAAAATGAAGACATCATTAAATCAATCGTTGTTTTGTTCGACGTTGAAGATGTCAGCTAAGAGGATTTTGAGTACTATTCTGCTCATTCCAAAAGTATGCAAGCCACACGAGGAGTGATATGAGAAAGATGCTCTCAAACCGGATCTCGGTAGTGAGATGCATGGAAGAGGAAATCTAAGATTAACCTAAACAAAAACTGCATATAGTGTATAACGACTGCGACTGTCCAAGATTGCAGTCTCTTCCAGAATTTCAATTGGTAAAAGCTCATCCATAAGAAATGTGTAGCAGGGTAAAAGTCTGATATCTATTGGTGAGCAGGCACTTTATTTATGAAGCAGAGAAAGCGATCTAGCATTTTATTTGTGAAGAAGAGAAAGTGTAAGAAGGCAAGTGAGGTATATGTGCTCAAAAAGACATGCCATCAAATGTTTCCATGTTATTGCTGAACATTTTTTGGTCTTTATCCAACTGGTTTTTATCATATCAAATTACTGCAGAGCGTACTGATTTTTTTGTCACCTAGCAACGGTGCCTTTCAGTTCAACTAGCAGTTTAAACCTCTGAAGCTTTAAGGTGAACAATGAGATATTTTTGGGTTTGTTTGAACTGTTGTGTCTGTCCACTTGAGTGCCTCCATATGTGGTTCTCCTGTTGCATTAGTTATATTTTTATCGGAATAGCTTCACACACGATGTTTTATAGACGTCATGTGGACGATGCTAAGATCTCACGTTCCTTATTTATGAAGGGATTTCATCTAACGATGATTAGCGCCTGCCGTGCACGCATCGGCCAGAAAGTTGGCTGCATAGCACTGCTCTATTTTTATTTTTGATCATCTTGCCCAAAACTAAAGTTTCACTACATGAAAAATGACTACTTTATTTTGTACCATGTTATCCTCTTTCTCTTCCCCACGGGACATCGTCTCCCTGCGTTCTCGATCCGGCGCTGCCACATATCGTGATTCTCGATCGGGCGCAGGTGTCACCATAAGAGAGCTTGGCTGGTGTGGTCTTCATGCTTGGTGTGGAGAAGCACGGGAGGATGAGTAGGACGGGCATGGGGAAGGAGCATCCAGGCCGGAGCTCCGGCGTTGCTCGCGTCATGGTTGAATGGAGCCGGCCATCACTATGGGCTGCTGCTCGCCGGTCGTTGGTTCCCAATCTCAGTTGCTCATCTTTGGCTTCACCATCTTCCTCCCCTGATCATGCATCTATTTTAGATCATATAATTATGCTATATCATATATGTTGTTTAGTTTAGACTTGTGCATGTGCATGCATTGGCATTGATTTAGACAGAGATATTGCATGATTTGTACATAGAAGGAGTACGGATGATCTAGGAACAAATGTTTGAATAAAGTTAGTAGTGAGATTTAGGTAGAGGTTACCTGCACTGTTTTGTTTTATGTAGATTCTAAGCTCCAAAATCATACATGGTCCTGTTAGTAATTTGTTTGAGTTGTGAGTTTACGCATTTTCTCTTGGAATGTTTGTATGTGTGATCACTTGCTTTTAGGTTCCCAGTGGTATATCATGAGAAGTTTTTTGCACCGGGTGATCAACTACATATTTAGACGAATACACTATTCAGAACCAGGAACATTAAGATTTCTAATGTTGTTTTCCTCTTTCAAAGATTGCAGTTTTCATAAGCCTTAGATAGCTAAGGTATATAGTTTTCATTTAACAAATTTTTTTACTGTTCTCTCATCTCCTATATGGTGTCTAAGAACTACTAATGTAGACAATTCAAAATTTTAAAATACCTTCTGGCCAATTATGTGGGGAAGGTGCAGCAAGCCGGCCCTCGCGTTATAGTAGAGTGGAGCCGGCAATTTTATGATCGGTCTCTAAATATTTCAACTTGCACAGTTTGAATTAGCTTCACATGGTATATATATAGTTTGAACATAGGTATTCCTTAATTTTTATAAAAGGTTTAGAATTATTATCCTCGGTGCTAAAACTCGATACTAACAAATGCAAACATTTCTGTTACAAAAGGTTTAGAATCATTACCCTTGATGCTTGAATTTGGACCTTGCACCTTACTTGGGTAACATAGAGCCAAATGGCACATTGTCCAAATACACGTTCAAAACACTTTGGGTTTGACATGTTCGCTATCCTTGATCAAACATAAAATTACTAAAAAAGGCAAATATTTCTCAACACGAACATGGTTTCAAATAGGTCTCTGCGCCATTTGGCGCACCGGGTCATCTAGTAGAAAGAAAAGAGAGGTGAAGTCGCGCTCACAAAAGAGGAGCCAAAAGGCTTGGCCGAGCTTGCTCCTTCTACACCTCCAAAAAGTAAAATGCGTTCGTACGCGAACGTTGGCTCAAACTTGAAGGCCGAGGCGCGTAGGCGCACCGAATGGATGGAAAACTGCGTCGCAACGGATGAAGGATGACGGTGGATAAGGAGGCGGAGCCGTGTGGTGCATACGCGATACCCATGGCCGTCTTCTGGCCTGGAAAAACGGCGTCGCTCGCCGGCCGGGAGTGACCGTTTTCGAGTATGATATATAATAAAATAAATATATATATAAATATAACGATACAAGAAGATATTTCGTTCCCTAGTCGGAAACCTTCAATCCTCAGCCCATATATGCGGGAGCCAGCCAGTGCTCCAACTCCAGGATCTCTGCCTGCACGCAGGTGGATCTCACGACCAGCGCCCGCACCAACTCGCCAGGTAAGCGGCAGGGTCCGAATTTATCTACCTCCAACCAACTATGTTTCCGTATGTTTCTCAAAAAAAAAAAAAAAAACACTGAGGTTCCATATAATCGGGTCTGAACTAACTAATTTTGCAGATTTCAGATTAGGCGGCCAAAATCGTAACATTATAATGTGTAGAAGTAAGAGAGCAAAGCTTTCTCATGATAGATCAGTCTCCACGAAGAAACAGCAACAGGACAGACCAGCCTCCACCAAGAAACAACAATCCAACGATCCGTTCCAAAGCCTTCCACAGGCGTGCATTTTTATCTACCACGTAATAGTAGTATTCAGTGCGCGTGACTTGTGATTTATCGCCAGTTTACTTAGATTCTATCAAAAACAGCTGAGTAATAAACTCCAAAATAACCAGAAAAAACAATATGTCATTCTCTCTCTCAAAAGAAATCAGCAAACGAACATGAATTTGATGATATTCTGTTGTAACAAAATCTGTTTATGTGTTTGTGTTGCCAGAAATTTAATTGCTTCTCCTGACATGGTTGTGCTTCAGGATGTCCTATGCTTGATCCTATCAAAGCTGCCCCTGAATGAAATTGTTCGGACGAGCACTCTTTCAACCAAGTGGAGACACACATGGACATCATGCCCTAATCTAATATTTGATGCTGCCACGATGTGTGCCAACAGTACTACTTCCAGCAAAGAGCAGCGCGCGCGGGTTTTCATTGCAAGTGTCAATGCTGTCTTGAAGCAGTGTGGTGCTACGGCTGTTGAAGAATTTCAGATCAAGTTCCCATTCGACAACCTGCTAGTTGATCATCTCAATAACTGGGTGAAATTTGCTGTCTTGTCACGGGCAAAGAATCTAGCAATTGAGTTGGAGCCCGAGGACTCAAGATGCTGCAAACATCCGTTTCCGTTTGAGCTTTTCGACAAGCAAAGCATGTCCCGCCTTGAGGCAATTCGTCTCAGCTTCGTATCACTTAAAGCACGACCCAACTTTAGTGGTTTTCCAAACATCAAAGCGCTTGATCTAAGAAGTGTGGATGTCTCTTCAAATGATCTTCAGCTTGTTCTGTCAAGTTGCTCCAATCTTGAGAGATTAAGCATCGCTATGTGCCATCCGCATGATGACATAAGGGTGTCACTTCCGCGTCTGCAACACTTGCACGTGGCGCACAGTTGCATAAACAAAATACACTTCATCTCCAAGAACCTCCGAACTTTTGTGTATGATGGATTTATGGTACCTCTTGATCTCAGTGAAAGTCTGCAACTAGGACATGTGGAAATGAACTTTCCTTTGTTAACGCTAGAGCATGCCATTACCGAACTTCCCCGAGCGATGCCCCATGCACAGAACCTGAATCTGAGTGCATGCATGACATTGAAGGTTTGCTGCTCGATCACTCTGATGCTATGATTACACCCCCCTCACATCTATTCACTTGGTTAAACCTGCATTTGTAGGTATTTTGCTTGCCAGAGGGTGTGACCAAGTTTTCTCATCTGAAGTATCTACAGCTGAGGTTGTATTTTTCTGGTCAGGACAATCTCCTCTCCTTGGCTTCTTTTCTCAAAGCTGCCCCTCTACTAGAAGAGTGAGATATACATGTAAGTTATCATCATCTTATCCCTCCTATATTATTCTCTGTGACTGAACAAGCCACTGTACAAGAATAAAATGCTAATGTTAATCTTGATCTATGCAGTTTCAGCGCCGCTCCTTTCCGCTGAATGACTTTGAGAAGTTACCTATCAGGAGCCTTCCTCCGTGTCGCCACGGTCATCTAAAGAGGGTGCTCATCACAGGGTTCCATGGGGCCCGGGGTGAGATTGAACTTGCAGCTCATGTTGCAGATAACTCCACCAGGCTTCAGGCCTTGGTCATAGATCCAGTCATGAGAGGTGTGGATAGCAATATGCTTACTTTAACGCCCGAGGGAAGAGCTATGTACTGGGATCTTGCCCGTAAGAATGCTAAGAAGTACCTTGCCAGGAGAGTCGCACAGGGTGCACGGTTTGATGTTCTGTGATGATGATTGAATGTTGTAGATGAGGTTGCAACGATGATGCATTACTGTGCAGGGGCTTGGTTTTAGGAATAATTCTACTCCCTCCTATCCAAATTAATTGACGCAGTTTCTGTACAATGTGTAGAGGACATTGTATTAGCTGATGCTATCAATGTGTAGAGGACTTTGCATCTTGTATAAACCATGGTTTCATTTCATGCAATCGTATTACCTTTGCCTCCCTGATCATCTATATAAGCCAACTCTGAACAGAACGTCTCTCCGCCCCGCGAGTTCTATGTGCCATAGCTTGGTCCTGTCTGCATAGACACTGTTCCGCGATTATCACCAGGGGAACCCAATTGTTGTCGGAAACTTACCGATTTCTGGTGAGCCACATAGTCCAGAAAATAGCTGTAGCCGCCAAAGTCCAAGATCTTCGCTTCATATGCTAATATTGCGTGCCACACAAATTGGAGACGTTAATCAGCTCCTCGTTGCCACTTAACTCAATGCCTACTAAATTCAGAATACCCCTCATCCTGCTGCCTTGCTTCAGCACGTATCTCACTTTGATCCTTTGCATGATAAGCAGGCAAGCAAAGAACCTGCGAACCTTTTCCGGTGCCAACTTCCTTTTGCATTTTGATATCGTACTTATCAGACGCTTCAGCTTGGTAGACAGAATTGCTGCTGCATGAGACTGGCTAACCTGAAAGTCCCAGACAGAAACAGAACTAACCAAGTCAGCAAAACAGCATCAGGATTTTCAATTACTCTCTTACCTGAACAAACTTGCCCTCTGAATAGTGGTGGAAGCTTCCAATATAGGAGGAAAATGGTCAGAATTTACTTGAGTCAAGCAATGCAAGGTTGAGTTCGGTAGAGACAAAGTCCCCAATCAGCACTAATAAAGACTCACATCAATTATGGTAAGGATCGGAGGATTGTGCATTACTATACCAGGCGTAATCTCTGCCCAACAGAGGAATATCTTGTGTTTGCATTTGTCTAATCCAGTTGTCGTTATACCGATTCATTTCAGAGAGCGAAGCCCTGCCAGTCTTCCTGTGAATTTGGCAACATACACATACACGGTTAAGGTCCCCGGCAATGAGCCAAGGGCCAGAGATCTGTGGCTTCATCTCAGCGATCTCATTGAAAAAGTTCGCCCATCTGCTGCACTTATCGGGCCATAAACAATTAGTCTCCCAAAAATTAAGTTAAGATATCACAGAAACCAACTGTAACAGTTACTGATCTTCTGTCGCTAAAGAAGTGAATTTGAAAATGAGAACTTGTTTGTCTTTCAAAAAAGAAAATGAGAACTTGTTGGAATTCCATGCAACAAAAACCCCACCAACCGGACAAACTCCAATCCTCGGATTTTCCAACAACACAAAGAAAGAGCACTTTGAAGATTCGACATTAAACAACTTTGATAAACAACACCGAAGGCAGTATAAACTGAAGGAGTCGAAACCAGATCATTGCATAATAATCCACTAAATCCAGTACAAGACAAGAGAATCATCCAATGTATTATGATTTCTTGACTAAGCTACAGTAGTTGCTATGTAACGGTCTAGCTCTAGTGTAACATAGCTGTGTCCCTCGCAATCGACAGGCTCAGATCTCTGGACTGCGTCTCCAGAACCGCGAGCGCAGACTGGTTGATCTGCAGGCGGGAGTTCACCGCGGCCTCCTCACCGATCTTGTTGCACAGGAGCAACAAGTCCGGTCCCTCGAGGACGCGCGGGTAAAACGGCAGAATCGCTTTCGCCACATCAGAGGCCTCGCCGAGTGGGAGATCCTCTGAGATGGCGATCTTCAGGTCCTGCCCTGCCTTCAACGCATCAACAGCCATGGAGGCATCAGCCTTGCTACTGACACGAAGGAAGCGAACTGGTCCTTCCAAGGACGGACGAACTAGTTTCCGCCGCTTCGATGCTGGCGGCATGGCTTCAGATGTGACGGCCGTCGCCGTCCAAGGGAGGGCGAGCCGAGGTGAAGACGCACCTTTGTCGGAGGTGTCTGTACGAGGACGGCGACCAGCTACCCGAATCTTAAGACCCGAAGCGCCGTTTCCAGAGGAGGACGCGGCGTCTTCAGCGACGCCGCTCGTCGGAGACAGCTTCTTGCCGTCCGCCTCGACCGCTGGGGTCTTTTCCTCGAACTTGGGCCGGACCAGCTCCAGGTGACGACGACGCCCCGCGGGGACGCCTGGATGTCCACCCGTGTCGCCCGTGGCAGTGGCGGTGCCGGTGCCGGTGACCGTAGCGCTGTCGTCGATGACGACGGCAAAGAAGGACGGCGGGGCGTCAACCGCCGGTACGACCAAGCTACTGGGGGACAGGCCTCCGTCGCCCGTCGTCATCTGGCCGCACGCGGGCGCGAGCACGGAGAGGCCGCCGACGGGGAGGTGGCTGCTGGAGATTTGGGCAAATTTGATAATTTTGACTAGTGCTTCTGGTTGTACGTCATTAAAATTACCCTCGAAGTTGACATAAATTACTCACCATATCACCCATAAATGAACAGAACGGTTCGGTTTTTCTCAAAATCCCGTTGGATTTGGTTCTTATACTGGTATATCCTATAACGCAACTGAAGGCGTAGCGCGGTGGCTAATGCCTTAGGGCATCTCCAGCCGTTGCCCCCCTCCCCTCAGGACGCATAAAAATCGCCCTCTGGGGGCGAGCCGGCGATACACTCGGCGCTGGGGGCGATTTTGCGCCCAGTCGTCGCCCCCAGCTCGCCCCCAGGCGCCGAAATTGGCCCACTTTGCAGCTCAATTTCGGCGAATAAATGGCCCATATGAACGAGAATAGGCCCATATTCGGCGTGGTTTCGCCGTGCCTCAGCGTTCAATTATCAACACAATTATTTCTTATCACATATTTCATCACAGAAAAATCAAATACTTCAACAAAATACTACAACAACAAATAGTTCAATACAAATTATATAGTTCAACAAATAAAAATTCGTATTTCATCACGCGGCGTCCCCCTTGAGCCTCCATAGGTGCTCAATCAGATCTTTCTGCAGTTGATGATGCACCTGTGGGTCTTGGATCTCCTGACGCATACTGAGATAGGCGGTCCAAGTTGCCGGTAGCTGGTGATCAACTTCGGCTAGAAGACCCTGCCTGTAGTATGGTTCAGTGTCAAACACTGGGTCTTCTTGCTCGCTCTCGATGATCATGTTGTGCAAGATGACACAGCAAGTCATGATCTCCCACATTTGATCTTTCGACCAGGTCTGAGCGGGGTACCGAACAACAACGAATCGAGATTGGAGCACACCAAATGCCCGCTTGACATCCTTCCTGCAAGCCTCCTGAAGCTTCGCAAACCAGGCATTCTTGCCTCCTGCCACAGGGTTTGAGATCGTTTTCACAAATATCGACCATATCGGATAGATGCCGTCAGCTAGATAGTACCCCTTGTTGTATTGGTGCCCATTGATCTCGAAGTTCACCGAAGGAGAATGGCCCTCAACGAGCTTGGCAAAAACAGGAGAGCACTGCAGCACTTGATGTCATTGTGAGTTCCTGGCATACCAAAGAAGGAGTGCCAAATCCAGAGGTCCTGTGTGGCTACCGCCTCAAGCACCACACTGCAACCGCCTTTGGCGCCTTTGTACATTCCCTGCCAACGAAATGGGCACTTCTTCCATTTCCAATGCATGCAGTCGATGCTTCCAAGCATCCCAGAAAATCCTCTTGCTGCATTCTGGGCTAGGATCCGAGCAGTGTCTTCCGCATTGGGTGTTCTCAAGTATTGTGGCCCAAACACTGCCACCACTGCCCGACAGAACTTGTAGAAACACTCTATGCTGGTGGACTCAGCCATGCGCCCATAGTCGTCAAGTGAATCACTGGGAGCTCCATATGCAAGCATCCTCATCGCTGTCGTGCACTTCTGGATGGAGGTGAATCCAAGAGCGCCAGTGCAATCCATCTTGTACTTGAAGTAGTTGTCGAACTCCCGGATGGAATTCACAATCCCGAGGAAGAGCTTTCGGCTCATCCGATAACGGCGCCGAAATGTTCTCTCGCCATGAAGTAGAGCATCAGCGAAGTAGTCGGAGTAGAGCATGTAGTAGCCTTGGAGACGATGCCGGTTCTTTGCTTTCACCCGCCCCAGCGCCGAGCCACCTCGTCGCGGCTTTTCATTGCTCGCCAGCAGCCGGGCGAGGGCGACGAGTACCATGAGATGCTCTTCTTCCTAGACGTCGGCCGCGGCTTCCTCCTCTAGCAGCGCGGCGAGCTCTTCCTCCTCATCCGAGTCCATCGCCAAGACAGGCAAAACGCCAAACACCTTGCGCTCGGTGGGCGTGTATCCGCCGTTAAACCGCGCCTCCGCGGCCGGAAATGGCGGCCGGAAACGCCCAACTGCTGTGGGAGGGGCTGCCGCGGCGAAGCGCTGCTATTTTCCGGCGGGGAATGGCTATCTAGCGGAGTAGGGCGGCGACCGTCACCGGGATATAGCTAGTGGTGGCCGAGGGCGCGGGGGGTGCGAGGCGAGTCGGGGGAAGAAAACCTTGACTTTTCCCCTGTTGGTGTGGGCCAGGCGTGCTTTTCCCTAGCGCCGGAGCCCCCAACGGCTCCCCAGCGCGCCGGGTTCGGCCTGTGACCGCCAGGCGAAAAAAAAAGTCCGAACCGGCGATTTTCGGCGTCCTGGGGGCGCGACTAAGCTGTTTTTTCGGCGCCGGCGCCGAAAAAGTGGCCTGGGGGGCCTGTTGGGGGCGCGGCTGGAGATGCCCTTAGCACTCCACCAAGGAGACTTGTGTTCGATCCCAGGTTCGACCGCATTTTCTCTCTTTTTTGCTAACCCTTCCTGCATTAATGGGCCGGCCCATGCGTCTGTTTTTTTTTCAGTTTGCATTTTGCTTGTTCGTTTCTCATTTCTGTTTTTGAGTTTTTCCTTCTATAAATTAATTATTAGGGATTTCCAAAAATTCAAAAGGTTGCGAGTTTTTTAAAGAAATATAAAACGTTTGTAAATTCAAAAAATGTTCTGGAAAGCATAAACTCTTCGTGATTTTAAAATAACTCTTTTCTTCATTTCATTTTTTGCCTTTTTTTCTCATTTTTGTTTTTGTTTTCTCATATTTAAATTAATTCGGGATTCCAAAATTTTAAAATGTTGTGAGTTTTGATTTTTTTGAGAAATCATAAAATTTCCATGAATTCAGAAAATGGTCAGGAAATCAAAATGTTCGCAATTTTTTAAAAAAATGTTTGCCTGTCATAGAAAAATTCTCGATTTCAAAAAATATGTTCACCAAATAAAATAATGTTCCTGATTCTTAGAAAATGCTTGTGTATTCAACACGCTTTCGGGAATTGGAAAAAATGACCATGAAATTTTCGAAAAGGATCACAAAAATTCAATCAGATCTATTGAAACAAATACGTAAATAACAAACAAAACAAACCATGGCTTGCATAAACTTTTTGAGGGGATCTGGAGAGGTTGTTTTATTATTTTATTTAGTCCATTGCACATCGGGTAAAAAAATGTTTCTGTGTTCTTTACAACGTTGAGCCCAAAAAAATTGACACATTTTCCAATGATTTTGTTTTTGTAAGCTATATGAAATGACTAAATGTCTAATTTGCTTTCATACATATCTATATTTATTGTGGTACTATAGTTTCATTGGTCATGAAAAACACCATGACGCTAGATCAAGGCGAGACACATCATTCATCAGTCTACCTTAGGCAGGGTCTATCAATACAGTTTCCTCAACCAAAAAACATTTCGTTGTGACGCCTTAGGAAATAAAGTCGTCATGAGACCATCACATTTTTTGTTTTTGAAATGACTTTTAAAAAGTCTCTTACCTCACCATGACATGATTTTAACGTACTTTATGAAGTGGCATTTTAAAAGCCCGTATCTCATTGTGACGCCCCCGATTTGACCGTACACTAATCATACACGCAAATGTGTACGATCAAGATTAAGGACTCACTGGAAGATATCACAACATAACTCTAGACACAAATTAAAATAATACAAGCTTTATATTACAAGCCAGGGGCCTCGAAGGCTCGAATACAAGAACTCGATCAAAGATGAGTCAGCGGAAGCAACAATATCTGAGTACAGACATAAGTTAAACAAGTTTGCCTTAAGAAGGCTAACACAAACTGGGATACAGATCGAAAGAGGCGCAGGCCTCCTGCCTGGGATCCTCCTAAACTATTCTTGGTCGTCGACAGCGGGCAGCACGTAGTAGTAGGCACCTCCGGTGTAGTAGGAGTCGTTGTCGAAGGTGGCGTCTGGCTCCTAGGCTCCAACATCTGGTTGCGACAACCAGGTAGAAGGGATAGGGGGAAAAGAGGGAGAAAGCAACCATGAGTACTCATCCAAAGTACTCGCAAGCAAGGAGCTACACTACATATGTATGCATTGGTATCAACTGGAATAAGGCTATCATATGTGGACTGAACTGCAGAATGCCGGAATAAGAGGGGGATAGCTAGTCCTTTCGAAGACTACGCTTCTGGCAGCCTCCGTCTTGCAGCATGTAGAAGAGAGTAGACTGAAGTCCTTCAAGTATCATCACGTAGCATAATCCTAACCGACGATCCTCCCCTCGTCGCCCTGTGAGAGAGCGATCACCGGTTGTATCTGGCACTTGGAAGGGTGTGTTTTATTAAGTATCCGGTTCTAGTTGTCATAAGGTCAAGGTACAACTTCAAGTCGTCCTGTTACCGAAGATCACGGCTATTCGAATAGATTAACTTCCCTGCAGGGGTGCACCACATAACCCAACACGCTCGATCCCATTTGGCCGGACACACTTTCCTGGGTCATGCCCGGCCTCGGAAGATCAATACGTCGCAGCCCTACCTAGGCACAACAGAGAGGTCAGCACGCCGGTCTAAATCCTATGGCGCAGGGGTCTGGGCCCATCGCCCTTTGCACACCTGCACGTTGCGAACGCGGACGGAAGCAGAACTAGCCCCCTTAATACAAGAGCAGGCTTACGGTCCAATTCGGCGCGCGCCACTCAATCGCTGACGTCACGAAGGCTTCGGCTGATACCACGACGTCGAGTGCCCATAACTGTCCCCGCGTAGATGGTTAGTGCGTATAGGCCAGTAGCCAGACTCAGATCAAATACCAGGATCTCGTTAAACGTGTTAAGTATCCGCGAACACCGACCAGGGCCAGGCCCACCTCTCTCCTAGGTGGTCACAACCCGCCCTGTCGCTTCGCCACAAAGTAACAGTCGGGGGCTGCCGGGAACTCAGGCCCACCACTACCTGGATGGAGCCACCTGCCCCTTCAGCCCCCATCTCCAAACAGTATCACCAGTAATGTAACAGTGTAAAGTATATAGCATATGCCCGTG